AATGAAATCAAAACTCCAATATGATTTTCGATCTGATTTTTTTGAGACCAATCCATTACACTCTATTTTTAAAACGAAATTAAAGGACCTGTAGTACGAGATAAATTTCATTATCAGAACTAAGGATTAAATAGCAAATATGATCGTCAAATAATCTTTCCAGAACTCCATTAATAAGGCTTGCCTGGAGCTCCGAATCTCACCAAGGACCGGCAAGAATGGGCTGATATGTCTGAAGATAAGTATGAAGTGAATTGGGTAGTGACATTAGTCGATTCCTGAGACTGACTTGTATGAGTATGATGATCATCAGACGACGGAGTCATATGTTGAGATACATTGTCGGGCGATTGTTGCCACGTTGTGCATTCCTTCTGCGGTACTGGCCATGAATTTTGGTGCCAGTTTTGCAAAGTGACTTTCGAGTCTCGAAGATGACCAAGAGTCTTACAGCCTAGACGGCTAGACTTGTCGAGTTGACTAGTTTCTACAGCAGTCGAAGTACTTGTAATAGAAGATGCAGAGGATGCCGATGATGCTGAGGAAGAAGACAAAGTTATCGGGTCATTCAAGCTGACTGGCAAGGGCAGAAGTTGAAGGCAGATGTCCGACTCATCAGTCCGCCTTAAGAATTCATCATTTTGTGAATGTGACCAATTGGTCGAAGCTTGTGGAAAAGGATAGGTGATAGGGTAGTCAGCGATTTCAGATTCCGGAACCAATTTGGCAGAGGGCTCATGACTAAGAAGAGCAGGTATAAATGATGGCACGCGGTGAGGCAATGAGAAAGTGATGACCGCTTGCGCAGATCTGAATGAAGCTGCTGCAGTGATGTTCGGTAAAGAGGACTCTATTTGGACCCCTGAAGGGAAGTGTAAGTAATGGTCTGCGGGTAAACATTTAAGGCTTAGCGGATCATCTGTGATAGACGGAATAGATATGCTCGAGATAAGGGAGGGGGAGGAGAGATAGGGTGCTGGTCTAGTGGTTATAGTTGTGGAACCAGTTGTGGTGATTGAGAGGGCAGCGATGCAGGCTGTGGAATCTCCAGTGGAAAGTAGGGTTATTTTATCTCTACTGCCGGGTATATGAGCAGTGGAGCTAATGGAAAATGGTATTGGCGTATTTAAAGATGAAAGAGGATGAAGTAAATCATTAAAAGAACTAGTGGAAGCCTTCACTGCAGGAGTTGGAGCAGAAACACGACAGGCGGATTGGCGTATAGGAAGACGAGGTAAAAAAGAAAAAGGCTTCTGGATAGTCCGAGAAGAGCGAGACTGGGCCTTTAGGCGATTTGAAGAGGTAGGTTGAAGTAGAAGACTAGGCTGAGTGTGAATTTTGTCCTGCATTTATAAATAGCAGTGTTCATAAGAATGCATGAGAGGAACAAAAAGAAAACCAAAGAACAAGAGTAAGAAGGTTGCGAATTTGATGGAAAATAAAGGGAAAAAAGAGGTTCAGTTTGCAGGTGTAACACTGAGTTAATGTAAATATAAACGATATAATATAGAGTAAAAGCTTCAGCTCTATATTCCTGGTGATACA